TTGAGTTTAGGGGGGGGGGCTAATTGAGTTTAGGGGGGGGACGGAAAACAATAAAAAAAGCATCTAATTCTTCAGTTTTGTTTTTTTGTTTTTTTTCTGTTGAAGGGGAGCCCCCCCTGGATGCGCCCTTGAAGTGAATAATATGAGGACACTAACACACCGTATGCGTTTTAGCATGCAGGACAAATGTTGCCCAGATAGTACTCACTACTGGCTTAGAGTAATTTCACTTGAACCACAAAACATTTGCAAACGATTCCAAGTCAAATGTTCGAGAGAAAGCAAGAAAATTCAGTATCTATTTTTCTGTCAAATGAAAACGCCCTATTCGTTTCAATATTTGTTTAAATAATCTGATGGAATAAATCAGTACTTTATGATAAAACGTGCAAAACATCAAAGCATTGTTCTTGATGATTATATCTTTATTTTGTACTTCAATATATATTTTTTCACCCTGTAATGGGGTACTCCTATAATACCTGGAAAGCTGCGTCCGTCGCGCTTATAACTTTGCGATTTTTCCGCGAAGACCTGCGCTAGCTTTTCATGTTTTGGCGACTTTTTGGCGTCGGAGTTTTTGGCTTTCGTCAATTAAATCTTTACTCAGTTCCTTATAAATTCGATAGACTAAAGCCAATATCGATGAGAAAACGAACCGCAAAGGCTGGAGTTGTCCGAGTCGCAGAAGCATGAAAAGCGCGCAAAAGATCAGCCATTGTAGCTTGTCATTTGGCTTAAATTACTGTTGGTCAACTCCTTTTTCTCATTGGAATATCCTACTAGACGGTTTGTTGATTTGATTTCGTGAATTAATGGATCTAACGCTCGAAACTCACAAAAAGTACAGACAATCTTTTCCTTTACATAGGTATTAACTATAGTTAAGAATATCTATAAAAACTGGATGGTTACAGCCATTTTCAATCACACGCGCCCGATTTTTTCTGTCGCGACGAAGAATGTTTTGGTGGATGTCAATCACAAGGCGTTTCCATATGTGTCATTAGAATGTCATGGAAACGCCTTGATTGACGTCCACAAAAAGCTTCTTCGTCGCGAAAGAAACGGCGCGTGTGATTGAGAATGGCTGTAACGTGCAAAATAAAGATTTTGTTCACCGCGCAGTAAAAATTTAACTGATTAAACGGCCATATGGGTCGCGACAATATACAGACACGCATGGATAGGTCTTGCGCTACTTTAAACTTAAACTTTAAACGCAAACAACTAAAACTCTACAACTCTCAGTGGTTGTAGCATAGAGCAGAAACTCTCGCGCAAAAAATAAAATTTACAAGATACTTTTACAATTTTGTGAGTCTCGAGCGAATTTATGGTGTAATTACAGAAGGACGTATTAGTAACGCCTGCGCTTACACTTAACTAAAAGATTCTGATTTTTATTCCCTTTTCAAATCCAAATCCTTGTGCCTTAGTGCGAGCGCAACCTAACCTGGTCCTTACTGGTGAGATGTGCAAGCATAATGAATAGCAACAATGACTTAGCATCTTTATTCAGTACAGTAGGGTGCATACCAAATATCTGTAAAAACATTGGTAAGAAACTGCACAAATCAATAAGTCCAGTAGACCTCAGTAGACCATAGACCTACAAAACTTTGTACTAATTTGTACTATTAACTCTTTCAGGGATATAAAGTATGTACTCTAGTTTGGGATTGCAACGAGTAGAACACTTGAAATGCTTCTACGATCTCCACATCCTCCAGACGACTCGGTTTTCGGCTTCCGTCACTTCAAAAATTAACTAAATTATAACAGTGTGAATTTTCTTCGAACGGAATCTAAAACACGAGAAAACGTGCTCCGTTGCTGCTTATGGAGTTGTTTTGGTCGTTGAAACATGAAAAGCGTTCTACAAAAGATATGTGTGTGCGCGCGCTCAACACTTTGTCAAAGATCAGAGTAAGCCACTGCATGTTTATAAAGGCCAATGGTTGAGCAAGAAATATTCAAGACTAAAGTTGGCCTCTCGATTGACAAGCGCTTTTAATCATCTTTAAAGTGAGTGACCCGCAAATTCTGGCCATGTTGCTCGTACTTATGCTTAAATCGCTAGTAAGGAATGCGCTTTCATCTACGGTGAATAATATTGTGAACATCTAACTACTACAATAAAGAAAAAAATAAAACTTTTTAACATTATATACAACCATCAGTCTAACCATATATACCACTCACCATAACTTAAATATTACATCAGAAAACTATAATATAATATAACAACACTATACTTTGTCAGAAGCATGTTCTCAATGAAGTAGAGGCCATGATGAAAATCCCAGGCTTCCTAAAGACACGCGCCATCAATAGTAGGCCTGGGTGTTAATCTCATTTCCCGCCAAAATTTTGACACGCGCCATCAATAGCAGGCCTGGGTGTTAATCTCATTTCCCGCCAAAATTTAGACACGCGCCATCAATAGCAGGCCTGGGTGGTAATCTCATTTCCCGCCAAAATTTTGACACGCGCCATCAATAGCAGGCCTGGTTGGTAATCTCATTTCCCGCCAAAATTTTGAGAATAAACTTCTGACAACACACAGGTTGTTCTTAATAAAATATCTTCTCGTGACCGTAACAATTCATGCGTCGCGATGACGTCATCTTGTCATACAAAGTGACGTCATACAAATAAATTGTGTTGAACACAAATAAATACAATTTTAGGTTACGCAATAAAGTTAACTAACTCCTGTTTTCTAGAGAAGCCTTGTTCTCTGTTTTTATAACTATTATGATTCCAATATATATGTGATAAACGAAATATAGGTATCTTTGTGGTATCATTGCATGATATAATAATGAATTTCTTGTTGTAAATATACAAATATATTCCCAGATTGAGGGAGACTGTGAGCGAAAACCGCAGTCACGTGCCAAGTTCTAGCATTCTGATTGGCTGAGTGGTTTTCTTGTGCTGTAATGTTTGGTGTCAGCGGTTACTCCTCATAATCTCCTTACTAATATTCTATCATTCTCGACCCTAAGCCAGCAATCCTTCTGGTCTGCTGTACTTTATTGCCCCCAGGCCCTTCTCTTCTCAGTGCAGACCAAAAAGATCGCAGGGTCTTGGGACGGAATAGTTCTATTTTTTAAAGAATACCGCATTCCTAGAGATTCCTAGCTAATGGCAGGCTCCTACCATGGCTTCTCTACCCGAACCAAAGAACCTTCAAAACCACTATCAGTCCTCAAATATTATAGAAAAAAAATTCGCAAACATTTCCACCAAATTGTCTTGGATAGAAACTTAATTATTATCTACATAATTTGAATAATTATTTGCCTCCTCCCCAAGCAAGGAAACCCATGAAATGTACAATGATTGGAATTAAAATACATCTTGTGTTGTTGGGAATTGAATACGATATATAAATTGTGAAGTAAGAAGTGAATGGTATTCAATGGCTCTATATTGTAGCTCTCAAATATTTTGCACATTAGAAAAATGATGGGATTCCTTTGGTAAAAAAAGGACGGGAAAGCCTAGTGAAGAACATTGAATGAGGGACTGATAAGGAGTTACTATGTATGTGTTCACAAGATGACGTCATTATTACCATTTCTAGGATCTGGAGCTTTTGGTCCAAAATGTTAGTCACTAGGCCCTTTTTCTTCTCATACCAAAGGGATCCCAACAGTTCCCTGCTGTTCAAAATAAGTTTGAACAGCATGGCAAGATATAAAAACTCATTCAAATAAAATACCACAGTTGAATCCCACGGCCAGCATGGGATTGGAGAAAAGGCATACACCAACAGGAGCCTGCAGTTCTGCTGGTCAGCAATTGTTCGGTGCTGACAAGGAGAAACGTAGACTTGGCAAATGCCAACTGCGCAAGACCGGAAATTAACGCAAGCGCTATCTTTGTTTAATTTTTGCCCGCGTCCCTTGTGGTCTCCGCAAAATTCGAGGAAATCCCGGAAACCAAAATATCTGCTGGCTCAGAAAGCATCAATGCGCATGCTCCAGGGAAAGAGTACTTGAGCAACTTTTTTCTCGTTTCTAAGACAGCTTAGTCAGAACAGAAAACTGTCAGAGATCGCAAATTTTGCTTTTTATGTACAAAAACGATGCTTGGAAAAAAAGGAGAGGTTCAGAAAAGCGCTAAGGCAGAAAACATCAAATTTGACGAAAATGAATTGCAATAATAATATGCCAGAGAGAACAAACAACAGCAATTCAAATTCATATACAAATAAATATTATAAATATGCTGTAATATTTGTATTCAAAATAGTGACATCCATAAGAATTTTCAATTCAATCAGAAGAGGCCTGTTGTCCTCTCATGACGTCATTGCATCTTTGTTAAGAAGGCCGCGTTATGCTAAAGTGGTTTTTTTTTGTACGTAAAGGAACCTCAGAAAAAGACATAAGTGACTCTCAAATCAGCTCTGCTCAAGTGTTGTTAATTTTGTTTAGGTTTTACTCAGAGCAGATTCATTTGAGAGGCACTGTACCACAGGTATCCCTTTCCTACAAAATTTCTTTAAAGCTTTTTGCACTCAAACCTTGTTTTAACAGGAAATTTAATTTGGCTTCTTTTGGCTGTTTTAATGATAGACTGCTGAGATAGGTTGTCATGTTCATGCAGTATGCCGTCAGACGGGCCAGGTTGTAGCTTACAAGAAGCTGAACGAAACAAGAAATACAGGATCCTTACTTGTCTTCAAACATGGCCTCCAATACACCGTCGCTTGTCTCACGTCCTCGACCACTGTGTAGCTGTCTCCAGTGATGGTGAAGAGTGCGGTAAACAAACTCGTACTGGGAATCAGTTTCTACCATTCCACCCCTGGAAGACAATGAACGAATCGATAAGACTTGATTGAACAACCGAGTGGCTAACCGACCGAATGACTGGCCGACCGACAGAACGACCGACTGACCGACAGAACGACAGACTGACCGACAGAACGACCGACTGACCGACAGAACGACCAACTGACTAATAGACCAATTTTCAAATTACCGCTGTGTTCCTTGATTTATGACTCATTTACTCAGGCTTAACTGTGTAACCGTGCTTATCAGTGTCTAAATAGCAACAGTAACGTAACAAATGCGCAACTTCAACAATACAAATACTTTCAAATTCCACGGACCTTCACTGGAACACATGAATATTCTACACAAAACCGAAGTCAACCCTGAGCAACAGAGAACTCGAAACTGAAGCATTGATCAACCTACCGTTGAACCAACTGGCTGAGGGACTGACCGACTGACGCATTGCCATTGGACAAAACAATATGCACTTACCTCTCTATTCTCATCAGACAAACAATTTTCAAAATATCTATACAATTTTCGTTCTGAAAAAATGAAGAAGAAAAAATCAGTAAAAAATCAAAGTAAATTAAATGAATTTTCAACTGTAAAAAAAAATATTATAACGATAGTAAAAAGAATATATAATATAAAATACTGGGAAAATTTGCGATTTGTGTTTATTTGCTTTCATGGTAGAGTGCATACAATATATACGTGAAAAAGTTAACTAACAAAATTGTACAAATTAGTGCAAAGTTTTGTAGGTCTACTTAGGTCGACTGAGCTTACTAACTTGTGCAAATGTGTGCTATTTCTTGCAAAGTTTTTCGTGGATATACGTGTAAGGTATGTAGTCTAGCATGCATAAACAATTTTTTAGATAGCAACAGAGTGAATTGTTGGTCTTGCTTTGGTACAAAGATGTTATCCACAATATACATTGCACCTTTGTAATTAAACCTTGAAGTCAACTGCGCGCACGGAAGAAGCGTCTCGTCTAGCGGGCGCGTTATCTTTACTTAATCTGTCTTGGTAGAGGCATGCTTGTAGAGGCTGTACACTAACCTGGATTTGTTTCATTCCTATACTAGTGGCAGTAAAACATCCAGTTCGACCGATACCAGCACTAGAAAAATGATAAGAAAACAGATGTTATTCACTTTCTTGATATATAAAGCATGATGTAAAAGATTTTAAAAGTCAGACGCTATTGTCATTGACTGGCAGGGCTGTGGGTTAATTTTAAACTTTATTGACCCCTGGAAAAAACTCTTGCCTAATCGAAGAACCCTGAAATAACCTCTGGGTTGATCTAAGTCAGGGCATGGCTAACTCACAGATTGAACCCTGAAACAACCTCTGGGCTGATCTAAGTCAGGGCATGGCTAACTCACAGATTGAA